TTTTTTTTTCGTGCTTTAATTAATGCACGTTATTCAGCTAAAATTAATGAATGGACTTTATTATCAATAACAAATATTGCACAAAGAAAATCACTATGTATGGCCATATAGGAGTTAACTTGTCTTATGTTAAGTGCATGTCTATCACAGGGTGTGGGTGTGGGTGAAGACAAGACCTATAATGATACCCACACCCACACCCTCTTATGAGTAAAATTCTGCCTATGGTTAAATATTCTTCCTAGTTTTCTTTTTAAAAATTATCAAGACCTACACATACGATTAAAATGTATTTGACAAAGATAAATAGTAAAATAGTAATGAAAAACAAAAACTCTTTATTGCAATCCAAAGGAATGACGATCAATACAAAATCAATAAATTTCACCATGAAATGTCAAAATGAATTTTCATAGATAATATAGTATATCTTTTACTTTTTTAGGTTTTTATTGATGTTATCACGTTTCAGTGTTCGTTTCGAAGAATCAGACAATCGCTTATTTCTTATTGCTGATCGAAAATAGTATCTGCAGGTATATTAAAAGAAAACATGCAAATATCAATTGTATCAGCAAAAAACAAAAAATCTATTTTATTTATTTTAGTTAACGAATATTGAACATTAACGTCAATTTGAACAAGCATTCATAAATGAATCGAGTCTAGAAAAATTATATGCTGATTTACTTGAACACATTCAAAATACGGTGTGGATGTAGATGTTGTTTGGATATGTTGATGAATCATATATTCTCTCTCTCTGTCATCCATACCCACATCCTCAATAAAGACTAAAAATATCGATTCATAAAATGGAAACATAACAACAAGAATTAATTTATTTACTTTTTTTCTTTTTACTAGAATCGGTCTCTATTATAACAATCATATCTAAATTTTCTAAACCAAACAGAATAGTTTGTCATTTATTTTGTGCTCTAATTTCTCTTTGACTTATTGATTTATATTTCATATCGTATGTTTTATTATGATTTCAATCATTGATTTAACTTGTAAATAAGTCGATTACATGTATCCATTAAACATATTTTAGGCATTGAAGTTTTAATGAAGACTTTCTAAACCATGTCGTTAGAGTTTAAGAAAAAGTTGCACAACATCTGGATTAAAACTTGCATTGATAACCAGTACTTATAATAATATCAAGAAGAATGTGGGTATAGATGTTGATATTTTGTTTAACCATATCTACAATCTTTGAATCGTTTTGGTTTAGTAGATTATATGTAAAAGCAGCTACCATACTTCATCCTATTGAACTGTTTTCTGAAAGTCCATTGAAAATGATAAATTCAAAAAATCTTGCACTACACAATTGTTTCTTTTTATTCAAATAACAATTCTTTTTTCTTGATTTATTATTTGTATTTTTTATTATTTTATTATCAATACAAAAAAAATTTCATAATAAAGAAAAAAATTGAATATTTTAATGTAAAAAGCAATTCATCATTGACAGTATTTAACGATAACTATCAGAAAAGGAATCAAACCAACTTTCACAGGTTCGAGTTCAGTTCGATGCCTGACAAGCGCGGTATTATCCTGTAAAATTATTTTAGATTGTAAATTTCTGAGAATTTTTTTAATGAAAAGCATAAGTTAAAACTCAACAATACAATCATCAAAATGCTTGACTTCAGAAAAAATAAATCATAAATAACGAAAATTCGATCATCACTAAAGAATATTCTGTAAGAAAATGATCGCACCTTGTTCCTGTTACATTCTAAAGATACTAAAAGGCTTGTAAACACATTCTAGAATACTTCAAACATATTTAGATTTTATTTTAAATTTATTTAACTTTTTTAAAATTTATTTCTGGATTATTGGTAAATGTTTACAAAATGTAAATTGATCGCTTTGCAAAATATTCCATCGAACTTCGTTTGATAATCACATATAACATCACAACTTTACAAAAATGATTATATCTTACCTAATCATTTTTTTTTTCATATGCCTATCTATATTTATTCATTTTTTCAAAATTACTAATATCTGTTTATGGAAGAAGTCGTTGTTTCAATGAATAGTATGATGTTGAATCCTGTTCTATTTTCATTACTGAGAATAGGAGAGACGATTAGCTTCAAAACTTTTTTTCTCACAATCTACTTTCGTGATTTAAATTTTGTGTTCTAACTTATTTAACTTTGTTTCAAATATTTTTTTTTGTTGTTGACACAGTAAACTTTGCATACATGTGACGAAATAAAGTAAAGAAATTTTTTCTCGTAAAATTTAATTTAAACAGAAATATATGCAATAAGGTGTGAGTTTTCGGTTCATCTCCAAAGCCATACATTCTATTGTCTAGGAATTCGTTGTATTCTTCACTTTTTATTCTGGAGAAGTGTTTCTTTTTTTTTTGATTTTGGGACAATTATCAATTTAGTTTGCGTTTTGTTTCAACAAGCAAGTTGTTGCAAATCTTCTAAATTAAAAAAATATTTTTCCACAGTTACAGTTTATTGTCTGTCTCTTCTGAATAAATCAATCAATCTCATCCACATTTTTCTAGCTAATAATGGTCATTGATATCTACTTTTAAGAATCATCAGGATCATATACTCGATCATTCGATTTTATTGTAATATAAGATTATCTGATTTTTAAGATATTATCAGTTAAATCTTCTAATCTTAAATAAATATATTTCT